AGGCCAAGCCTGGACAGTGGGTCTCCTGATCCCCTAAGAACTCCTTCTTACTATCAATTCACTCCCAGCAGGGAGTCCCTGGCCCCATCTTGATCACATAGCATCTTCTCAGGGGTCTTCTTTCTGTCCCCTTCTACATTCACTTAGAAAGTTCTCCCTCCTGCTCTCTACTCCTACCCTATCTACCAAGCACGACACCCTAGTGCTAGAACCCATTTTCTCCATGAGAACTTGTCAAGGACTGGGAATGTACTCAGTTGGCAGAGTGATTACCTAGCATATCACAAAGCTCTGGGTTCCAACCCCAGCACTGCCAAAACAGAAGTTGGTGACACACATGTAATTCCAGCACTTAGGAGATAGAAGCAGGGTGATCTGAAGTTCAAGGTCATCCCCAACTGTAGCCAGTTGAGTCTGAGGCCAGCCTGGAGTGCATGAGACCATGTCTCAAAACATACACATGCAAACAAAGACCTTCTGAACTCTTCTACCTTTCTCACTGTCTTCCCTCTGACAGACTACTTTAGTTAATATCAGGTATTTCAAGTGTTTGTTTCAGAAGCATTTTATAGGTGCTAGATTCAATTTATCAACTAAACCGCATCCTTCTTCAAAATGTTACACTTAAGACTTCTTGAACTCCCAGTGCCCTGTACATACTAAGTGCTCTGTAAGTATTTGCAGAGTGACACAAGGAACATTAGAAACTAGGTACATGAAATCTCATCAAAGGAAAATAGTAGTGCCTACTAAACATGGTACGTTATAAGTATATTACATTCCATACAGTCCCCTGAGGATGACTGTAAGGGGGAGGGGAGGGGAGCAAAACAGAACTAGGAAATGAAAGCCACAGGAAAGTATTCACTGGATCCTCTACAGGCCAGAAACGAATCTTGCCTTCTTTTCAGAACACTGCAGCACTAAGGGACCTCTTGTCTGCTAATTCTGCCAACCTCATCTGTTCCCCTTGGTCAGTTGTCCCAAAAGTGCTACAAAAGAGGATGGAGGAGAGCTCCTCATTAGCAAAGTCAAATGCTCACAGCTTTCTAATAGAAACCTAAAGAATCGGAAGGCACCATTATCTGCCATATCAGTGCAGGCTGACAGTACCAGGGTACCAGCATTCCCCATTTATACTTTGTTTGCTAAAAGCCACTTTGTTTGGTTATTGGAGTATGGTGGGGGGGTGTTGTTTAAAAAAAACAAACTAGACATGAAAGTTGGACATGATAGCAAACACCTGTAATCCCACCACTCTGGAGCAAATATGGTGGGCTTCAATAGGAGGATTTTACAATGTGTGAGAGCAGCCTGGGCTATATATCTAGTATAAGGCCAGCCTGGGCTACACTGTAAGATGCCCCCGACTCACAAATAAATAAAACAAAGCAAATGACACAACACTTAGGGCTATTTGCTTTTATCCTGACATTCAAAGAGGACCTAAACACACAAGACTACTGTTAAATGGTATTTCTGCTTCTCAGCTGTGTAATACGAAGAACAGGCGCTCAACTTTAGCCTCCTCACCTTCCCTCTTATCTTCCATCAGGAGCCTCTTGGTAATCACATACTTGAACTTCAGGGCACAATTACTCAACACAAGTGTCCCTGTAGAATATGCAACTATCTCAGCCAGTTGCACTGCCTCTAACATATGGGAAATGCCAAAGTGCCCTCTAACCTCCATCATCTTAAGTTTAAAAAAAATCTAACAATTATAAACAGCAAGCATAAAAACCCAGGCTCTGGTTATGCTTACTACTTTTGGTCCAAAACCATAGCTGGCTTTTAAGTCTTTATATAAAATATTTCATTATTATTAGTTTTTTTTTTAAAGGAAGCCCAAAGGCTGTTACGAAGGACAAAATCATGGGGTCAATGTGACCATGAAAAACTAAATTATGTCACCCCGTGGTCTGCCAGAAATGGTTCTAAGCTGGCATAAGCTGTAAGTCTCACTGTGTGGCCAATATTTCTAGTTTCTTATCACAACATCATACCAGGAACAACCTTGATGATTTGTGGCAAAGATTATTTTCATTTCCAAACACAAGTATGTATTCAGGGTAACTCTTGGTACTTGTAATAATTCCTAATATTTACAAGCATGCTCCTAACACACATTTCCATCCCAGATCATAGTTTAATTGCCTGCTTCCTAATAAACCCTCACATTTTGGGGTGATAATTCACTTAATCTTCCAAACTGAATGTAGTGGAACACTACAAACACAGGACACAGTATGACCACAGACATCTAATATATCGACCTTTTGCCCCCTAAACACAGATAAACATGATGTCTTTTATTTTCCATTGCATGTTGTTCAATCTGAAAGGCTTAAGAACAGGTTTTCTACAAAACCTGGGACTCTGAAACTGTGACTAGACAGAAAACTGGCATTAAGGAACTGTTAGTTTACCAAGGAGCAAATACAGTGGGCATTTCTGGAGTTTTCTGAGTTATTCATGCTTCAGAGATTTATAGAGGAGCATTTAGAGCTGAGATGGGAACAGGTCTGAGCAGTGAGAGGGTGCTTGATGAAGCACAGAAACAGCAAGATGTGAGTTGGTAGCTGAACCTGGATGTTGAGTGCACCAGGGCTTATGTTCTGCATACCTTCATATAAAATTTCAAATAATGCTTTTAGAAGTTAGACCTTTTATAGGGACCCAACTTTACATCTGTGACATTTTGACATGAAGGTGCAATATAGTATTTGGCTAAACAAATTACCCTAGGTTTTGAATCTAGAAAAGTAGCTGGAAAAATCAGTCATAGTGAGGAAAGAAATAGCATTCATGCTATATTTAGAGCTTGTTCTTCTTTAAAAAGTTAAAAATGTTAGTCAAAAAATAAATAGATAAAACTAGAATGGGTACATTTTCACTCTAAAGCCAAGTCAAACGGTTGCTTAAAAACCGCAAAACAAGTGCACTCGTTACTTGCATGTCCACTTGGCCTTCAGAAATGATCACAAGAAGGCCAGGCCCCTCTTGCTGTCTGGGGACCCAGCAGCAGCGCAGAGCAACCACCCAGAGAGCAGAACCACTTGTAACCAGCTCTTACAAGTTCTTTTCCGACACCAACCACAGACAGCCACGCTGTGCCAAATTCGAAGCAGCATTCTCTCCTCAGATACATGCTGCCACTTCCATCCCCATTTTAAAGCAAGAAAGGGGTCGTTGTGGTGCCCATCCACCTTGGTTAAGTTAAAGCTACAATTGTCATCATCCCAGGGGTTGAGACTCAACACTCTTGATTTTAGCCAGGAAAACAACAGTGATTAACCCAATCACTAACATCAAAATCTCTGATCACCACCAGTACCACCACCCTCCCCTTCATTCCTCCCCAACCAGTGGCCATTGGCCACCACCATCACTAGCCCAGAGCACTTCACAGAAATTAACAACTCTGACAGGAACACTGCTTTATAAAATAAACTCCAACGTGACACCCAAACACATAAGTCCAACCAGTAACATTAAACCTGCACAGTTAGTGTATGTGAAATTGAAGCTTTCATTAACAAAGCTTGCATTCACACATCTGAGACAATACCATAAATGAGAGCAAAAATTAAATAAATAAATAAATAAATAGGAAAAGTTTCCTCAAACCACCACATCAGATGCTATGTCAGGCTATGAACCAGTTCCTATCTTGGTTTTGTGCTGGATCAAGCCTCCAGAATTTCAAAACCTCCTGTGTGTGGCTGTGTGTGTTGGGGGTGGGGAAGAGGGAGGTAGAGGAGGGAAAGACAGCGGTTAAATTCATAGAAGCCAATGACCAATCCCAGCACCAAATCAAATCCATCCAGGCAAAGATAGTTTGCTGTGACCCCTGGACTGTCTCCCTCTAGCTACCTCCATCCAACAACCCTTCACACACACCCCAGCAGCCTCTTAGCCAGCAGGAAAATGTGCATTTAAAAAAAAAAATCAAGGCTGCCTGCAGGTGCCTAAGGAATAAAGAAAGACAGAGAGAGAGAGAGAGAGAGAGAGAGAGAGAGAGAGAGAGAACCTATCACTTGGGAAAAGAAAAAAGACACACAAACAGAAGGAAAGGGACAATCGGTGACAAGCCCTTCAGCCTAGAGCTGGGATTTTGTTCCTGCCTCCCACCAGCCAGCCCTGGTGTCCCTTTTTCTGTCCTTCAACTAAATTACTCATGTATACTCACACACATGTGCGAATGTATGTGTATAGATGATATTATCATTAACCCTTTCTGCAATCCGGCCTCATGCAAAATACAGATATTCCATCCTTTCCTCTTTCTCTCTTCTCCCCTCCTCCCTCTTTTCTCCCAACAAGGAGAAAACGCCCCCTTCCCCAGCTTCACGGGGGGGGGGGGTGCAGAAAAGCCACAAAACCTTATAGAGCCTCTGGTCCCCAGGACATCCAGAAAAGGCATATAGTAGACACACACACACACCACACACGGGAACATATGGCTCTGTAGAAACCACACCGAGAACCGTCCACAGGCGCCCCAAACCCAAGCAAAGAGACTTCCAGCAGCCAAGAAGCCATGATTGGAGAGGGAGACGGAGGAGGAAAGGAATAGGGGCAGAGCCATCCGTGGAGAAGGGGGGCGCATTGTTGTGATGCCCGAACCCCTTTCTTTCCACCCATCTGCTGTGGAGGGAGGTGAAGGGAGGGGTTGTGCATGGAGGGGGCACAGGGAGACGAGGCAAAGGGGACAAGGAGGCAGCCAGGAGGAGATCCGACCAGGCAGGCACACCGCTCTGCGATTCCCGTCTGGCCCCAGTTCTCCCCCAAACCCCACACCCAACAATAAGACCTCAGCCGAGACAGACAGACAGCTTCGAACGCGGCGGCGGCGGCGGCGGCGGGGGGCGGCTGAGAACCGGGGTGCAGCCCCGAATAGTGGGTGTTGATGTGGGGAGGGGGTTATGCATAAAGAGAAACCAGAGGGGGAAGGATAAAAAGGGAGAGGGCAGAAACAGGGGGATTGGCCCCCTTACCTCCAGCGCTTCAAAAGTAACAAAGCTGGCCATGGCAAATCCATCAATGATGTCCTCTTCGGCCGAGCTGGACTCTCGGCGCTTTCTCCGCGGGGGTCTGGGCCGGGACGGGGCGGAGGATGGGGGCTTCCCATTGTCTTCCTTGTCGGAGCCCGAGGAGGAGGCCAGCGAGGGGGCTCGGGGCCGGCCGGGGGCAGCACCGGAGCCGGCCCGGGAGCGTCTCTCTCGGTCTCGCTGCGACCGCGACCTCCGTTTCTTGCGGAGTCCATGTCCCCGCGTCGGGCCATCCATGGCTCTTTGAACCACGCCGGGGGATCTTTTTCCCCGGCTCACCCTCCCGCGCCACACACACACCCCAGAAGAAGAAGGGAGGGAGGAAAAATTGACACGGAGCCCTCCCTCCTGCTCCTGCACCGCGAGGGAAAATATTTTTTAAAAAATAGAAGGAAGGAGGGGGGAGAAAAAAGGGGGGGGGAAGGGGCGGGGAGACTAGGAGGGAGGGCCAAGTGTGGGGCTCCCCTCTGCACCGAGGGTCGGAGATGCCTGCGAACAGCGCCGAGCAAAGTAATGGCTGAATACACAGGTCTGCTTTTCAGTGAGAGAGAGAGAGAAAAAAAAATAACTCACCAAGCAGGCAATAAATCAGAATAGCGGAATGCTTTGATCAAGAGACTGGGGAAGCCCTCCCCACGGCCATGCTCTCGCCCTAGCACCCAAATCGCCTTCTCCGAAAGATTCCCCCCCCCAAAAAGAAAAAGATACCCGAGGTCCGAGAAGGTCAGGGTGAACCGGGTGGGTGGCAATGAACTTCACCCGCCCCTCGCGCAGGAAACACCCCACACTCCTCTCTCTCGGTCTTTCTCGTCTAGAAGAAAAACTCACTCCCGGGCTCCCGTTTTCTGTTTCTTTCTTTTCTTTTTTCTTTTTCTTTTCTTTTTTTTTTTTTTTAAGAAATGTATCCAGGGCTTGGGCACGAGCTGAACGGGGCGAGATCCCCCAAAGAGGGGAGCATGGCCGAGCGCTCCCGGGGGAAGCTGGGGTGCGCGGGCAGGCGAGAAGGACGCAGCGGTTCCGGGGTTTCTACTTGCTCCCGGGGGCTTGAGGGGGGAGGAGAAGATGAAAGAAGAGAACTGCCAAGCCTGGCGCGTGCCGCCGCCCCCTCCTCACACACAGACACACAGAAATCCCGGTTGTTTCCAGTCCCGGAGAAGAGGTCACCCTTCCTCCCGACAATTCAAGGAGGGGTGGGCCGGCCAGCCGCTCGTCGAGGAGCAGAGCAGAAAGCCGTCTCCAGCGGGAGACACCGTCGTGCCGCCTCCGCCCGCTGAGGAGACGCTCTGAAGAGACTCCGCTCGCGCCCGGCTACCGCTGCGGGAGCCCGGAGCCTGAGGGTGCGCGGCGTGTGCGCGGACCGCACCGGAGCCGGGCCACGGCCTCCTCCTCCTCCACCCGCCGCGCGGCTCCTCCCCCACGGCGCGTCCCCGCGGCCACCTCTGCGCGCGCCCGGCGTCTTCGCGCCTCGCTTTGCGCGCTCCCGAGAGCCCCGCCCCTCACGCTTTGCTCCGCGCGCTCCCGAGGGCCTCCCCTCTCACCTCACTCCCTCCGCGCTCCCGATCCCCTCCCCTCACATCTCACTCTGCGCGCTCCCGTGCCCCTCCCCTCGCACTTCGCTGCGCGCTCCCGAGCCCATTTCCGCGCGCCTCCTTCCCCTACGCGCTCCCGAGCCCCTCCCCGCTCTGTCTCCGGTGCGCGTTCCCGTCCCTCCTCCCGCGCGCCTCGGGCCGCCGGATCACGTGACCCGCCCCCTCCCCTGGTTGTAGAGTGTGTAGAAAGCAAAAAGGCTGAGGGGCTGGCCGGCGCTCCGCGAGCCCAGGGCATGCGCGCTGGGGCGGCCGGGCCTGCGCACTTGGGGGTGGAGAGGGGACTCCTGCGGGAGTCGGGGGTCGGGCCAGCTGCGGGCACGCGTGGAGTTGACCACTAGAACGTGGAAGTGGATCCGACATCCCGCCAAGCGCTGTGAAGGCGCGCGCACGCCCCGGGCTTTTTATCGCGGGACACTTGCTCCTCGAGTCTCTTTATCTCCTCCACGTCTGAACTTCTTGCTGGCTGCGCTACTCTTGAGTACCTCTCGGTGTTTTCCCTTCGCGGGGGGTGTGCAAGAAGTGCATGCAGTGCAAAGACGGTGCACCTTGGGAACCGACGGTGCAACTGGGGGCGACAGCTAAGAGAGCCGCTGCAACAAGCGAGAGCCGGTGCTGCACCCCCGCGCACTGGGGCAGCCAGCGGGCTACAGTTAGAAACTTCCTCCGCGTGGTAGCACTGTGCGTGACCGAGTGACCCTGTATCCCTTAACCCCCACTCCTGGCCCGCTCCCTTCGTCTCCCAGGGGGTGACCCTTTGGGAACGCGCTTGCGGCTTTGGAGATTGAACTTGACCCTGGAGCTGTTGCGGGGACCCGAGCGGGGACTACAGTCCCCTTGGCTGTCTCCGCTTCTTTATGATTTAGCTACAGGAGGGCAGGAGTGGGGGTGGCTCTTCTCTTGCCAGCGCAATGTAGCTGATGCTTGTAAAAAGTTGTATTAAATAGCCGACTGCAGCCTAGAATCGATTAACCGAAGCGACTAGCCTCTCTGGATAAAATAGCTGTGCGGTTTTTTTTTTTTTTTTTTTTCCTTTCGGGGCACTGGAATTGATCTATAGGAACCGACAGTCTTCCTTCAGCAGCCTCTTAGTCCCTTCAATTTCTGTCCAAGCATATAAACACCATGGCACATCACCCCTCACCCCTAACAGCCCACACTTGGGCGTGAAGAAAAAGTAAATCAAGTGACAATTATTAATTACAAACAAGCAGGGACCATGTTACAATGCTCGCACACGATTTCTACTGTTTGAAATCCAAATAAGCACTTGCCGTTCGAACTCCTGGAAGTAGATGGGAGAAGGTGAAAGAGAAAAACTGACGTTTCAAAGATGGATGGATGCTTTTTCTATTATTATTAGTCATCAATGATTAAGCTTACCTGGCTTTTCAGTTCAAAGAACACAGTGGTACCCCAGAGAAAGTGTTTGCACTTAATAAAAGATTTGGTGGTAGGTAGGGATGGTGGGAAGCAAGGAATAGGAAGAATCAAAAGGAGAGATCCAGTCAAGTGTGAATAAGACAAGCTTTATGGCTGTCCCCAGGAACAAACCATTTAACCTCAGGCAAGACTTTCAAATGACTACTTTTCTCCTCTTGTAAATCAAAGAAGTTCAATTAAATGTTCAAAAAGTTCTTCTCAGATAGCATCTCTTTTGGAGTAGGACCTGTTCTTGATTTCTTGAGAATAGGGATAAGTGATAGCTGATTGAATTTATTAGGAATATTGTGCCACCCTCCAAACCTAAAGGGATTTCTGGTGCCCCTGGAGAAGTTAGCTAGCTGAACAAGCCCTCCCTCCCTGTGTCAATTTCTAGGATAAGCTTCTTGCAATGGCTGGAGCCCATACTAAGGTCATCAAGCTGGTTTCACAAGATCAAGCCAAGTTCTTTGTCATTGAAAGCAAGGACCTGGGCTCATCTTTAGGATGTTCTAGTTTCCTTTCTGTTTCTGAGATAAAACACCAAAAACAACTTGCGGAGGAAAGGGTTTGTTTGGCTTAGACTTCCAAGTCACAATCCATCAGAGGGAAGTCAGGGCAGGAACCTGGCACAGAAACCCGGGAGGAACACTGCTTTCTGGTCACTCTCTGCTAGCTTTTCTTTTTTTAAGACAAGCGTTTCACTAGGTAGCCCTGGGTTGACTGGCACTCACTATGTAAACCAGGCTGGCCTGGAACACACAAATATCTGCCTGCCATCTCTCAAGTAAAGGCCTATCATGCCTAGTATCTTCTTTCTTTTACAGCCCAGGCACCTGCCCAGGGATGGTACTGCCCACAGTAGGCAGCCCTCTCACATCAATCAACATCAAGACAGTCTCTCACAGACCTGCCCTACACCAGTCTGATCTGGGAAATCCCCCAGGTGAGACTCCCTCAGATAACTCTGGACTGTGTCAAGTTGGTAATTGAAGCTGACAAGATTCTAGCAAACCCAGGAAGTAACATTGCAAATATAGTCACTTTTCACAAGTTGAGGAAAAGTGTGAAATTGGCAAATATAATAAAAGGTACCATATTAGTGACTTTTCATAGTAGCCCTTGGCAGTCATGTCTTTAAAGAGTAATGTCTGGTGGAGGGCGGGGTGCAGAGAGAATGGATCGTTATACTCTGTATCCAAGAACCTTGCCTCTGGCAAGAGTAATTTGCAAACGCATTTTTGGGATAATGTTTAAATGATTTTTTTTTTTCAGGATCCTAGCGAGGTACTCGCAGGAATTGGTAATGGCTTTGGGGGTCAGAGTTCAACTGTGTTCTTCCATCAGAGAATTAAAATTATTTATGGGTTTTATTGCTCTTATTTGTCACTAAAGCTCCATCTCATGTTTTGATCACTAATGAATGATTAATAATTCTGTATAATAAGCTAAGCAATTACTACATGCTGGGCACTGTTCCAAAGGTATTAAAATAATATCTCAATTAATTCTTATAAATTTTAATTCATTTTACTTTTGTGAATGAGTTTGTGTGTGTGCATGTGTGTAGCTATGCACATGTATATGTATTGGTGTGTAAGCACTTGTATATGTGGAAAGGCTAGAAGAGGACATCAAATATCCTGCTCTATCACTCTCTGCCTTATTCCCTTGAGACAGGGTCTCTCACTGAACCTGGAGCTAGGCTAGCAGCCAGCAAGCCCCAGTGATCCTCCTGTCTCCACCACCCACAGCTAGGGGCATGAGCATGAGCTCACCTGGCTTTTTGCTTGGTGCTGGGGATTTAAACTCAGGTGCTCATGTTTGCACAGGAAGTGCTTCTATCCCCTGAGCCATTTCCCCAGCCCAATTCTCATGAGTTTTAAGAAAGGCTTCATTATACATTGCGTATTTTGCATACAGTCAACTGAGCCTTTTTGGTAAGCATCCTGTCCAAAGTGGCCTGATAATTTAATAGTAAGGAAAAATTGGTCTGAGTCACTCTAAAAACCTGTAACAGGACGGTACAGAATGTAAAACAAAAAGTAAGAGGGCAATTTTATGAGCAGGCTCTGCTTGAGGAGAAATGAACACAATATCATTAGCATGTACCCATGCCAGCCCACTTTCCCCACCCTGGGTGAGTATGTAGAAAGAATTTTGAATAGAAAGACCCTGGCAAGGAAAGGTAAGAATGATTTTATAGGAAAAAAAAAAATCTGTGAATGACATGTTTCTCTAGTTGTAATCCAAGGAGCTTGAATTTCAATGAAAAAAAAATTTTTTTTTCTTTGTTCGTTTTGAGACAGGATCAGGGCAGGGCAGGCTAGCCTCAAACTTGATATTGAAGATGACCTTGAATTTCTGATCCTCTTGCCTCTACCTTCTGAGTGCAGGGTCACATGCATGTACCACAACACCATTTTTTTTTTTTTTCTTTTTTTGGTCTTTTTGAGACAGGGTCTCTCTGTAGTCCCAGCTGTCCTGGAGCTCACTGTGTAGACCAGGTTGGCCTTGAACTCACAGAGATCTACCTGCCTCTGCCACCATGCCCAGAATAATAATTTTTTTTAATGTAGTTCTGGGAATGAAACCCAGGACTTCATGCATACTAGGCAAGCACTCTAGCAACTGAGCCACATTCCAGCCCTCCTCCCACCTCCAAATACTATTATAGCTCAACCATTTTACTGATCTCTGAACCTTCCACTACTAAAAACTGTTTGGTACTATGTTTTCTATATTACAAATTTTTTTTTTTTGTCTTTTTGACACAGGGTCTCCCTGTAGCCCCAGCTGTCCTGGAACTCACCATGTAGACCAGGCTGGCCTCAAACTCACAAAGATCCACTTGCCTCTGCCTCCCAAGTGCTGGGATTAAAGGAGTGCGCCACCACGCCCGGCTCAATATTACAAAATTCTTATTTCCTCCATCCTCTTTGCTCTGCCAACATGGCAATTATTACCACATCATTCTTGATGTTACATCCCAGTATATAATATTTGAATTTAATTTATTAGGAGAATTGATTTTTTAACTCAAGGCAGCTAAGGTTTATGTTTTAGTCGTTTGTAACTCTCAGTTACTTTGTGTGCCTGTCTGCGAGGAAACCAGACACAACTGAGGTGGTGAATAGACCCATCGCCCTGCCATCTCCAAATGAGGAAATAAAGAAACCAATGCATTTAGCTTCCCTTCCTTCACCCTCCTAAGTTGTTTTAATAATAGCTCTTTCTGGGGAGAAATGATATCTTGTCTTAACTGACAGGAAGACAGACCATCAGCAATAACACTGTTGTAACTTTGCCCTAATTATCACCTGCTGTTTTATTTATTTTTTCCACATTTGGAAATTGTTTTTAAACTGCAGCTTT